TTTTCTCATTGCAGCAGCTTGGTCTTTCAACAGCGGCAGAGCAAAGATGCCACCTACTCCCGCAGTTATTCCTTTCCCCTGCAGACTGCCATCATCACTGTGCAGCCACATCCCGGTCACGTGAAGGTGCCTGTCCATCACAGTCTGCTGGTGGCACTTCCCCCGATGCTGCTGGGCATGATGGAAGCAGCAAAGCCATCAGGGAGAGCAGTTGGCTCACACCACCAGGAATGCAGTCCCTGCACAGGACGCATGCCACTCTCCAGGCAAGTTCATTATCAGATGGTACCAGCAATTTCCATCTAAACCCCACTGGGATTTTACGCTGGAAGCAGCCTGTAAATTAAATAAGTATTGCAACATATTTTTTAGACAGCTGTATTAAATGCTTCCAGATATACATTCATCCTCAAGACATATGTGGTCAGATGGGATCCAGGCAGCTTGCATTACCCTGCAACACTTGTTGGGCTCTTGCCATGATTTTCTCATCTATCATGTGTTTGGAAGCTTGAAATTTTTTTTTTTTTTTTTTTTGGCATTACAGCTACATTTCATCTGTCAGCACTAAGTGCTGCAGGAACACACAGGGACAGATGGGCCTGGACTCTTCTTCCTATCCGAATAAACACAGGCACAAACAGGGAAAGCAGCTGCTGAAGGTCATGCTCTGGGGCACAGTACCCATTCGCCACCTGAATTTCACCTTCTCAATAAATCAGGTCTTCTGCAATGGATATCAACAGTATGAGTTAAAACTGTGAGGAAGATCTTCTCCTTCTTCTCTTTCAGTGTCTAAAGTAGGTGGAGAAATTCCCAAGACTCAAAAAGCAACTTCCACAGCCTGCTGTGTCCATGGTTGAGATATGGGATAGAAATTCTACAGTGTAATGAGGGGTTTTTTTATGTTGATGACCTGGCCTTTCATGGCCCCACTGCCATCACATGGACACCCACATCATCGAGCCATCCCCCTCAGAGGCTCTTTGCAAATGTTTGACAACATTCCAAGTGCCCTTTAACACCCAACAGCAGTTTCACCAGCCTAAAATGTCCAGAAGGTCAAGCCACACCTCTGTTCACCCTGCCAGCATCCCCAGACTCCTCTGGCTATTAGAAGACCCTTGCACCTGCTTTTTCATGCTGAGATCTTCTTTTGGAGTCCTCTGCTTTCTGGACTCTGGGAAGCAACAGGGCTCTAGATTCTCCTGGTGCTAACAGATTGTTCTGGCCTTGTCCCAAGCCCTTACCATGACCAAAACAGTGCTGTCCCCTTTTGCTTTTCTCCACTTGCAGCTCTGCAGTCACTTCACTTTCCCATTTGAACTTCTCGCAGAGGTTTCTTCTTCTGCAAAAACTTCTGAGTTATCTCCCCCAGGCTGTGCTAAAGAGTGTTTGTGAACACCCCCCTCTTGCTGTGAGACCTCTGAAATACATGAAAAAGGCTTTTCTATCCCCTCCACCAGTGAAACATAGAATGCAGAGGCTGGAGGTTAGATTAAGCACTCAGTTTTGCTTTCACCCAAGCACAGATTCTTGCTCCAAATTCCCATAAATGTGGGTTCAACCACTCTGTTCCATGTTCCCTCCATATCATCTCAGTGCTTGACATCTCACTTGACCTTCAAGACAACCCATATAACTTGGCTCCACGCTCAACAGCTGTTTCTGGTTATTTTATAACTATGAGGGAGCCAGTTCAGTAAAAATTGACCCTGCTCAGTAATCCATGGTCAAACCCACTGTACAGGGACTTTGTCACCACTGAGAATTTATGTGTTGCTATAAAAGTTTGAATATGTGCCTGCTCCAGCAAATCCATTCACTGGCCTGGCCCCTCCACCTGTGGGTTTTGGGGTATTTATGGATTATCTTGTAACTGATTGCTGAAAGGTACCAGCCAGACTCAGATCAGTCAGTCTGGTAATTGAATAAGTGTCACAGGTCATGCTTCACCGACACTAACCAAAGGCTCAACCCTCAGACCTTCCTGTTTTCCTTATGTAGACCTTGTAAGGCACCCAACTATATAATTGGATTTATGAGTGTGCTGCAGATCTTCACTTGAGAGACCCACAGCAGCAGTTCCACCTTCCAATGGTCTCAGCCCCACGGAGCTCTCCATCTCCTCCCTCCCTTCCATAGACCCAGGCAAGACCAGACAAGAGGATGGCTGGTTTGGGCCATTTTAGAGATGGTTGAGAGGAAAAAGAGCCTGGAAGGGGGACAGCTTCAGGTCAGAGTCCATGATGCAGTGGAGATGGGGAATGAGCTGTCTCAGCACATGCCCCTTCAACCTGACTTCAGAGTTAACCCCAAGAGCACATCAGACTTTTCCAAACTCTCAGTAACATTGCTCTCCTCACACTCTTCACTTGCCCAGCTTATTTAGGTCAGCCCCACGTTTTGAAGGCAGCTTGCAGAGCCATGGATCTGATTCAGACAGCCCACGAGTGGCTCCTTGCGCTGCATGTTCATCCTTCTCCTCGGGTAGGTGAGAAGCATCAGCAGGAGCCTCCCAATGGGCTGCAACCCACTCACTTTGCAGCCAGCTGGCCAACGAGCCTGTGCTGCCTCCTCTTCTGGTGGAAACCCCCTAATCGCTGTGCTGCAGGACAGGTGAAGGATAAAAGGAAGAGCTAGAAGTACCAGATGTGTCCTAAATGTATCTGCTACACCTTCCATGGCCATGAGGTCCCTGGACTCGGGTGCTCCTGCTCAGGAGTGTAAAGTTGTAAATGGCAAACTGGGTCCCTCACGCTCTGGCTACACCCAAAGCCTTCCCTAAGAAATGCCTAAACTGGAAGACTGCAGCCTTCTGCCTCCTAAAGATCAACCTTTAACTCTCCTCTGAACTTTTGCACGGATCCAGCTGGCTCAGCATAACGAGATACACCGACTTTCATGAAGATGGCCAAGTGTGTGAAAAGCTAATGCTGCTGAGGGTAATGTCTGCCAGAGACCTTCTCTAAGGCAATAAAAGGAGTGTGTCAGTGAGTGATGGGGAGAAAGCAGAATGACTAATGGCAGACAGAGAATATATCCCCTTTCCTCTTTTCCCAGTCTGAAGAACCAGAGACACCATCTTGATATATGTTACATGAGTCCAGTCCAGGGGAAAGTCACATTGTGCAGCTGAAGAACAGTGTTAGAACAGGGCTCAAGCAACCAAAGCAACCAAGAGGTCTTCAGCTGCTGTAATACTCTTTTCAATGCACACTCCTGTCATGTTAGCAAAAGCCCCATGCAATGTGGACAGCTGTGGTGTTGAGTGGGTCTCCTTATCCCAGCTGAGGAACTTACACAACTACTGTTTCTAGAAAAGTGCCAAAAAATCTTACTGTGCAGACAACACTGGCAGACTAACAAAAGGATATTTGCAGCCCAGGAATAGACTAAGAGTAGATCTTACAGTTGATGTCTTTCAAGAGAAAAGTATGTTTCTAGAGCAGTCTTCTACTACCAGCATGCAGAAGGAGTGGACAACAACCAGTCACATGGGTTCACAGCAATCAGACACTTTAAATCTCCCCGAGGCCAAAGTATGAATGGTACTGCCTACAACTACAGCTTTGTCTTTGCAATCATTAATTCATGAATAGGCCATGAGCCAGCTGAGGTAAAAGTCACTCCACTATGACACACTTTTGTGGAGTCAGGCAATTCCCAGATAGTGGGTCTTGCAACATTTGTTCATATATTCCTTCTGTCTAGCAGGTTTATATATTTTCAGTGGGGCTGTGCAGGTTTGCTTCAGACAATGATCTCCATGTCTCTGCCACTGTAAAAATGATATATCTGAACAATTAACATGAGAAAAACTGTAGCTTTTTCAATAAAATTACTCTCCAAGAAAACATTGGTTTCAGTTGGACATGGCATATTTTAGATTAAAAACTAAAAGCAGGTATCCAAACATTAGAAGTCCTTTGTCTCAGAGATGTGTTGCATTGAAGAGAACCACTCACAAAATTCAGCAGCTCCTATGTAGTAACCCATCAGATTATCAGTCTCAGCAACTAACTCACTTGATCCTTGCAATATCCCAACATAAAAGTGCAATATGCCTGGAAGTCACCCTCACACAGCAGGCTTCCAGCTCAAGTTCTCCACGAACTCTGCATTGCCATTCCAGGCTTCTGTGCTTATGGAATGTGAGCTCAGGTAACCAGCAGGATCTGCTCAGGAGTTGCTAGAAGGGTCCTACCTGGGCCCAAAAAAGCGCTGCATTGGAGAGGTAAATGTGGTGATGCAGAGCCTTCTTTGGAGGATGGTGAGATGCCGTGTGGACAGAGGAATGAGGAATCACCAGGACTGTAGCGGGAACATGATCTTACCATCACACCTCCCCATCAGGTTAGATGTGCTCTCAAGCTAGTTTCAATCATTTTACTGCTCTGCAGCTCTTCCTCTCCTTGTCTCATCTACTGACCATGGTAATTCTTCTGGACATCAGTTTTGTCTCCTGGCTTGTCTGTGGTAGGAGCTCTTGGGGAACAGGGCCAGGTCCCTTGTGTGCTGTTGGGGTTATATCTGTTGTCTTGATTACAGCCTGGCAGAGCTGGGTGATGCTGCATCACTCAGAGCACTGCTGTTACAGGTGAAGGTGAATGAATCCACCCACCCCACTCTTTGGGAAGAGGTGGCCTGTGTGTTCCTCACTTCACATGGGTGGATGAATGGCTTCCAAGCCTGAACTGCCTGCGGAGAGCACGGAGCTCAGCTAGAGCCCCAGCCTGGCTGCCTCTCACCTCCTCCCTCCTCTGCCTTCATCCACCTGCGCATGGAGGACTGAGTGTGTGACAGTGCTGCTGGGGTGTATGGGACTTAAAAGAAAGTAGGGAATGTGCACAGATTGTTATCCACAGGTTGCAGGGATAGGTTGCAGGAAGCAGGTCAAAGGGTGAGTGGGAGCAGCAGCAATCGGGCTGCCGGCCGAGCTGACGCATTGTTTACCGTGATGTTTCTGCTGCTATAAATTGCTGTCAGCTCCCCTTCACGAGGCTCAGCTCCAGCAGAGGAGGAGGGAGAGGATTTTTACCTGCACTGAGCTCCCTGTCAGGTGAAGGTGTGAGAGAAACAAAAGAAAAGAGGCAGGAGAAGGCAGTGTCAGCCACCCCAGACCAGCATGGTGTCTCTGTTGGACAACATAGCCAGACCTTCTGCTGTCGTCCTGCAGCTGTCTGTGGTGCTTGGGGTAATCTTTGTGCTGCTGAAGGTGGTCCAGTTCTACCAGGAGAGGAAGAAACTCGTCAAAGCTCTGGAGGCATTTCCTGGCCCCCCGAAACACTGGCTCTATGGCCACAATCACCTGGTAAGGAGTGAGATGGGCTTGGTCAGGGTGGGTTAGTCCCAAAGACTGTGCAAGATATCAGTCAGGATAAGAAGCACTGGATGGGGTGTGTGTGTCCCCTACTCCCTCTGCACAGGGAGTGCCAAGACTTCTGCAGGGCAGGAGGAAAGCTTACCTGGATATGAGATGTGCATCATTTGGGAAAAAACAGAGCCATGCTGTATTTGATCATGTGCTTAAACATAGAGTTAGGCAATTTCTTGGATTTTCATGAAGTTACATAAATATGAGCAACCACTGAATGTCTCTCTTCTACATTAAACAATAAGAGTGTCTCCCCCTACAGCCACTGAAGAAGACATGGCCACAAAAGCAGGGCATTTTAATGCAGCCATTTTCATTGCTCTATAGTGAAGATATTTTGCTTCCACACTGCATGCCCACCTTGCACTGCTGAAATCAAAGAACAGGGGTGTAACACCCTTGGTCCTCCTGACCTGTCCACCAGGCGTCTTGGTATTGCCCATGCCAGCTGCAGCTCCCAGCAACATCAAGCTGCTCCGAGCCCAGGCTGTCCTAAGGTGGCTCAACTGCAGCTGGCCCCAGCTAGGAACTCTCCATGGAGTTGTCTTGTGCTGCAGGGAAGTGGTGGCTCAAGCAGCTTTGCCACTTGTGCGCAGTCCCTTTGCAATGCCCATCCTCTCCTTCACCTGCAGTGTAAAAGCCCCTGTGTGGCAAGTCTGCCCACTCTTGCTTCATTTCCCAAGAGAGGATGTCTTGCCTGTGCTTTCCATGACAGGGCAAATTCAAGCTCTGCTCTCCCTGGCATGCTCTTTTTCTGCCTTTATTCAGTCCCTGCTTAATTTTCATTCATTGTAGATATATCCTGAAAAAATATTACATCAACTAGTGTCGTGGGGAGAAGAATACCCCTATGCCTTTCCCAGATGGTTTGGACCAGTCCTGCCTGCTGTAATTGTCCACCATCCTGAATATGCCAAAAGCATACTTGGCCGAACAGGTAAGTCTCTACATCTGGTTTTGAGAAGTCCCACCAAAAAAAAATCATGGGAAACTTGCCTGGAATCATCCCCTCTGCTGGCTTCCTTCACAGCTGTTGCAATTCCTCTTTAGCTCCTCTTCACAAACTCTCAGCCTGACGCAGGTTTCATGGAGCAATTTGTGTTCTTGTGCAGAACAGTGGCCAGGTGCCTGTTCCTTCCATACCTTATCTCCATTGTCATTGGTCTTACTGCCTTCTATGGGATCTGCCACCACTATGTTTGTGCTTCCCAGTAAACCCAGTAATATGGGTGAGCTGGCATGGCAATGGATCTGAGAAAACACCTCAAGTCTTCTCCTCTGTTCCCTTCTCTGGAGCATGATTCCTGTGAGAGGTACACACATGGGCATCTCTGGTAACTCCCATCCATTGCTCTCAACTGTAGGATTTGCCATGGTCAGTTCCTTTCCACACACATTTATTGTTCTTCCTTTCTCTATTTTTTCAAGTCCACAGAGGTCGTATTTGTAGATGGTCACTTTTAAACTCTACCTCTAGTGGTAGAGTATTTTACATATTGAAATGAGATTAATTCTATCTTGTGATTTAGAGAGCAAAATCTAATGTCAATTTATCCTGTATTTTCTTTTTTGAATTCATTAGTCATTCATACATTTCTGGTATCTGCTTTGTTTTACAGATCCCAAGGCCAGTGTACCCTACAAATTCCTGCTTCCCTGGATTGGTAAGTCAAAAGCAGTAGTAAGGCTGCCAAAACCATGATCAGAGCCTGGAGGAGCTGGCTGAACCTTCTCTGTTTGTGCCTTCAGGGGAGGGGCTGTTGGTCTTGGATGGAACCAAATGGTTCCAGCACCGGAAGATGCTCACCCCAGCCTTTCATTACGATGTGCTGAAATCTTACGTGACCCTGATGTCAGACTCGGTCAAAGTGATGCTGGTAAGAATTCCCACTCCTGCTACTTTTACCTTTCAGCTGTGCAACGGTGCAAATAATCACATCTGGGAATGAGTGAGGGAAAGAGACTGCACTCAGTGCCTAGAGTTTCATTGAACTTTTGGGGTAGTTATAAAGTTCTGAAATTGTTCCTCTTACCTTCCTTTGGACATTGCAGTTATTCTTTCTTTTTTTTTTTTTTCCCCCCAATGAAACCAACCACAGCTAGAATATCCTTTCCTAGCCCAGTAGAGGTAAACCTAGAAAAAGAAATGTACGGAGGAGTTTGATTGGATTCACAGAATACATAGTGAATGAGGGCCTCTGCTTGCAGAAAAGAAAGTGATTAGCAGTGTGCATCTGGGAAGAGGGACAGGAATATATGACCTGATTACAGATGGTATCCTATCCCTCCTTACCCCTGTCTCCACCTCTAGGATAAATGGGACAAGAAGAGCACAGAGAGTAAGTCAGTGGAGCTCTTTCAAGACGTCAGCTTGATGACACTAGACAGCATCATGAAATGTGCCTTCAGCTTTAATTCCGACTGTCAGACTCAGAGGTCGGTGCCTGAACTTTCAAATCCTGGGAAAGCAAGTGCTCCTGTTTCCCCCTCACATCGCTAACACCAGCTTTAACCTTGGCCTCATTACAGCAACTCACACTACTACATTAAAGCTGTTTTTGACCTGAGCTACCTCCTGAGCCAAAGAATCCAGACTTTTTCCTTCAAGGATGTCTTCTACAACTTGACTCGCAAAGGCCGTGAGTTTCAGGACGCCTGCAAGCTGGCCCATACCCACACAGGTATTTCTCCCCCTTTCTCCCCAATCTCTCTGTTTCTCTCCTTTCTTCCCAGCTGAACCTCTCCCCCACTTGTGCCTGGAGTGGCTCAGAGGGGGGTTGTAACAGACACTGGCCAGAGGGTTACACATTAAACAGAGTCCAAGCTGCTGACCAAGGGGTCAGGTACATGAGGTCTCTGGAGTGGCGACTAACTGAGGCACTCTTCTCTGCAGATAAGGTAATAAAAGAAAGAAAGATGTTGCTCTCCAGTGAGGAGGAACTTGGCAAGATCTTGAAGAAGAAGCACCTGGATTTTCTGGACATTCTTCTTTGTAGCAAGGTGAATGTTTGAAATGATTGCATCGAATGATAAAGAAAACACTGAGAATGCATCAGCAGGGAAGCATCCAGGCCCTGGCTGAGATTCCTGGCAACAGCTTTCCTAATCCAGCTTTCCTAGCTCAGGGAAATGTGGATGGAAAGGGAAGGAAACACAAATGTTTGAAATGCAGTGAGCGAGCATAAATACCTTGGGCAGACTTTCCTCTTCCTTGATCATTTCCATCGAGCACACTAATAGTTTAAAAGAAGAGACCTCTCAGAAACCAGAGAGGAATGAGGTCTTTGGAAAGGTTACAAGGAGAGCATCTTGTCTGTAGTCCTGTCAAGATATTTTCTTTATTACCTTTGGTAGTTTTACTTTCACAGACGTCTTCAGATACTCTGGAGAGAAGGTGCCATTTGTTGTTCAGGAGGGAGATACACTCTGCTCACTCAGTCTTTCTGAAGCTGCTGCTTTCTTTCGTGTCTCAGTCTGAAAAAAAGTCAACCAAACCAAACTACTGAAAAATGTGACTGGGACCATTGGTAGGGGATCAAAAAGGGTGTCTTTCTGATGGGCTGAGAACTTGTCTCCCACCAGAGCCCAACTCTGTCGCCCTGTTGACTACAGAGTTGGCAATCTCACATATACTGGATAAATTTTCTGATGACTTCCTGATGTACAGGGAAACATAAGTGACATCAAACCATGCAAATCCTTTGGGTATGAAAATAAAAGGCCTGTGTGCTTAGGAATGATACACTCTCCTCTTTATTAGGATGCAAATGGAGTTGGACTGTCCGATGAGGACCTGCGTGCCGAGGTCGACACGTTCATGTTTGAGGGTCATGATACCACAGCCAGCGGGATCTCCTGGCTCTTCTACTGCATGTCATTACATCCAGAGTACCAGCAACGCTGCAGGGAGGAGATCCAGGGGATCCTGGGAGACCGAGACACCGTTGAGTGGTGAGCTAGGACATCTTATTCATTTACCTTGAACTCCTTTCTCTTACCCTTTGCCATGGTCCCCCAAAACATCCTTCTCTCTAAATTGGAGAGAGATGGATTTGATTGGTGGACTGCTCAGTAGTTTAGGAATTGGTTGGAAGGTGACATCCAGAGGATGGTGTTCAACAGTTCAATGTCCAGATGTAGACCAGTGACAAGTGATGCCCTCAGGGGTCTGTACTGGGACAGTACTGTTTAATATCTTCATCAGTGATGCAGACAAAGGGATCTAGTTCACCCTCAGCAAGTTTGCTTTTAGGGAGGACCTGGGGAAGATGACCTACACCACGATGTGCATCAAAGAGAGCTTGCGCCTGTTCCCACCGGTTCCTTCTGTGTCCCGACAGCTCTCTAAACCCATCACGTTTTCTGACGGACGCAGCCTGCCAGCAGGTCTGTTGAGTTTGTTCATCCTTCATGCTCCTGCCTATGCCAAGTGGGGCTTCCTTGTTCATGCTGCTGTGTGGAGGGGATGGTGGGTCTTCCAGCCTCTCTTCTCTCTCCAGAGGGCTGTGTGGGGCTACCACAGCTTGCCACCACATGAGCCTGGAAAGGATGACCAGAGAGAGTCCAAAGACATGCTCCAGAGCACTGGGGTGTTCACAGAGCTCACAGGGGACTTGTAGAGTGTTGTTGCTGGTGAAGTAAAAGTGATACACTGATACAAAAAATGGAGCCCAGCTCTGAGGTCACTGTTTTGTCCATGTGAGGATTTCAGCAGGTGACCTGCCTGGACAGGCTGGGCATTATCACTGCCAGATCTCCTGCAATAGACCCTGCAGAGCCCAGGGAGAGAGACCATCCCAAAACCACCTTTCCTGCATCTTCACCTTGAGGTGTCATGAGCTTTTTCTCGTTTTTCTTTTACAGGCTGCCAGGTTGGACTGAACATATTTGGTATTCACAGGAACCGGGATGTCTGGGAGAACCCTGAGGTATTTCACCTTTGTAACAAGAAAGAGAAGATGATGTCTGAGCCCAGATATCCATTCCACTTGTGCCTTGTTCAGCCTATGCCTCCCTGCTATGTGGGGTTTTTTTTCCCTTCTCATTCCAAGAGTCCATGTCCAACTGTAAAGTTCAGTCAAGTTACCAAACCCTACAAAGGCTTTAAACATGACAAAGTGCTGGAGAAAGGTGTTGAATAGTCCCCCTGCATGCATGGGGACATAGAGATACTCAGACTGCTTTCAGCTACCCTGGATAGTCTTAGATCTCAGAGTGGTATGAGAAGCGTCAAACCCTCCAGGCAGTGTGTGATTTGAAGCTGATATTTTTGAGGCTTCAAGAAATAACTGGAAAACTTGAAGGAGGGTGTGCAGCTGCCTCCCTCCAGTGGCTGTCTGGAAAGCAAGGATCAGGCATCTCTGGAACAAAGGGAGTCTTACTTTATCATTGCTGCCCCAGATGGGAAAACACCTGCAGGCATCTTGGGCATTGTAGTGGGTAACCTGGATATCTCCAAGGGGGAGATCCACTCAGTGGCTTTGTAGAGAGATGTCTGTTAACTACAGTTCCCCCAGGAAGGGCAGGGACAACATCCAGCCCTAACCTGGGGGCCAGGGAAGAACCTGGTGCTGCTCATATCAGACCAAACACTGACCAAGGGGTCTTTGTTGCTCCCACAGATTTATGATCCCCTGAGGTTTTCTCCAGAGAACTCAGCACAGAGGCACTCCTATGCTTTCCTGCCTTTCTCTGCTGGACCCAGGTGGGAGATCCTTCATCCCTCTCCTTCCCATTAGGCTGCCTTGCATGGGAGACCAAGCTCCTGAAGCTAATCTTCCCTCAGTCTCCATGAGCCAAGTTGGCTTGGCCAACTCAAACAGGCTTTCCATAACAGGATCTCCCATTACAGAATCTCCTGTAAGAGGATTTCCGTGCTCCATCAGCTCCAGAGCATTTCCAACACCCTAAGCTCTGTTGTCACTGTAGGCTTTCACACACTTTTCTTGTGGCTTTGTGGACATGTTTACATTTTCTGTTGCCTGCATTGGGAACACAGGCTCCCTTATTTAGGGGTGAATCCCAGTGCACCTCAAAATGAAACTGGGTCCAAGTCTCTGTGGTTCCCATGCTGTATCAGTAGGCAGATGCAGGATACTGAGGTATCAGTAATTCACAAGAGGATCACCACACCGAGCCAAAAATAACTTTTCTGAGGTGTCTGGACTTTTACCTGGATCCAGGCTGCACTTTCTAGTGAAATAAGCCCACGTTCTCTCAATCTCATATCTTTTTTCAATGCTTATTGATAAAAATTAGGAATACCCCGCCACAGAGCTGGGTACATTTTGGTGTGGCATCAGGGGACCCCTGGATGAGCTGTGGTGTCGTTCTCACAGCAGCTGGATGTGCCCCAGCTCACACATGGGCTGAGCCCAGTTTGGGGGCAGTCAGGGCCAAAGGCAGCAGTCAGAGCATTTGTCATCCTCTCCCCAGGAACTGCATCGGGCAGCAGTTCGCCATGAATGAGATGAAGGTGGCGTTGGCCTTGACCCTGCTCCGCTTCGAGCTCTGCCCAGACCCATCCAAGCTTCCCATTATGGTACCACAGCTTGTCCTCAGGTCCAGCAATGGGATACACCTGCATTTGAAGAAGATTCCCTGATCCCACGGGGTACCACGGCAGGTGGGCAAGAGCTCTCCCAAATGTCGCTCCACCCAGAGGCTTAAGTGGGGAACGAGATCCACGCTGGCCACATTGGATCTCTCCCACATTAACCCCCCACCATTGCTGTCCAGGGGGGCACACCGAGCCCCCTCAAACAAACACCAAAACCAGCAGATCCAAGTCCCCTCCTTGCAGGGGGAGCAGCACTGCTAAAGGGGTTCCACAGCGTGGCTGTGGCTCAGCCTTCATCTCCTTGGGCATCCTCCATGTCCTGATCATCTCCTGACCTCCAGCCTGCCCTCACACGCTGCCTGGCGGGACTTCTGTCACTCATCTGTGGATTTGTTCCATTGTCAGTCTCCAGGATGGGCTTGGCAGTGAACAATGCTGGCATGGTTTGCATGGATGTTTAAAGCCTGGGCGCTGCCCCAGCACAGAGTCCTTCCCCTGCCTCCAGCCTGGGTGTGCCAGGGCAGGAGGGCTCCTCCTGGCAGCCTCGCTGCATCCCCATGCACCGCCCTCCAAATTATTCCCATTCTGTGGCTGGCGCTGTGCCCACCATTATGGAGATGAAGGCCTGTGGTTTCTTTCTGCCCCAGCACTGAACTTTCTTGAGTTGAGGGTGCTCAGGAAGCCAGCCCAGAGACATGACACCAGCTAACCTGGAGAAAGCACTCACCCCACTGAAAACAATGTGTGATCAGCCTTGGTCTCATCTCCGAAACAAGAATAAAGCTTTGTGAGGATGCTCTCCAAGCATGACTTTGGCTTCCTTTGCATTTGGGGGTTACAGGGTACAGGGGGAGCCCCAGCAGGCCAGAGGCAAGGCTGTGCCCAAGGGTGCAGCCCTGTGAGTGTTTCAAGCCACAAGCACTGTTTTCCCCCTAATGAGCCTGAGGAGCCTGTTTCCACACCTCCTGCAACATACATCAACAAGCCCTCACCTTTGACTCTAGGAGTTTCCATGGTAAGGAAACAACTGAAATGAATCTGTGGTCAGACAAAGCAAAACACAAATACACACCACACACACAGAAATGCTGGTGGTAAGAACAAAATCAGCTTGCAAAACAAGACAAGTCCCAAGATGAAGCATGAGTCTGCCTCAAAACCTTTTCTGCAGAGGCTGAGAGCTGACCACTCAGTACATGAGTGACCTGTCCAAGGGATGAAGGTGAGCACTGCCCCTGGGATTAGGCATGTTTTCAGGGCACGGGGAGCCTTTCCCCAAGCACTAGCCAAGGTGGACCATCTGGATGAGCTGCGGGCCCAGGATGTGAAATGGATCACTAGGTGGCAGTGGGAGACCCGGAAAAAGTCCTCCCTGGTCCCTGGTAAAACTCCCCTGGGCTCGGCGGGGAGCATGGCCAGGCCCAGCAAGGCAGTTGATGTACCCTATCCCTGGGGATACCCCCGTCCCCATCCCCACCCTCAGCTGTGCAGGGCAGCGGGGCAGGCACTGCTCCGGCACAGTCCCGGAGTGATGGTGTTACCCACGCACAGCTCAGGGAAGGTTTGTCACTGAGAGTGCCTCAGAACCCAGAGGTCGTCAGGGGAAACTGAGGCTCAGAGTGACAGACAGCCACACTACAGGGACAGACAAGGCTGTTTGGCTTTCACCCACAGCAGTGGCATCACCAAATCCCTGCAGGCACTAATGTATCCAAAGCATGTCTGTCCATCTCTCTGTCTCTCTGAGCAGCTCAGGACAGCCAAATCTGAGCATCTGCCCATCTGACTAAACTCCTGCAGCATCCCTGCTCCCCATCTCTGCTGCCTGCTCAATCCTCAGTTTGGGAAACAAAACTCTCCTCAGACCTTTGTTTTGGCTGTCTGGGACAGGGATGCTGGGATTAACCAGCAAGGTGCAACTTGCATTTATTTTGCAAGGCATCTGGAGACCAAGTTCCTCTTCTCCTAGCCCACCCCTTCTTACCTTACTCCCAGGAAGAGACTGGATGCAGGTTGTGTAGGTGCTGGTGCCACCACACTTGCACCTCTGGTGGACTCAGGCTGGTCTAACAGGTCAGACTCTTCCTCTCCTGCTCCAGTACAGCAAGGCCTTTGGAGGGCAGTAGTTTGATACACCTTTTCATTACTGAAAAGTCCTGTTTGTCAGGCATTTCAGCCACCCACCTGGGAACAGGCAAGCCACTTCATAGCTCTGCTCATCTACTCTCCGGCAGGTGGTCCAAGAAATGAGCTTTTGGAGCACTTGGCCACGAAGACCCATCCCAGTCTCCTTGGTGGTGATTTGCAAAGGAAACTGGGTGGCACTTGAAGATGTCACTACAGCATCTTCTGGTTTGGATGTGGGGGGATAAGGCCAGAGCAGGGCAAATTAGGTCTGAAGAGGACTCCCAGCTGCTGCCCACCCCTGGGTCTGTACAGGGGGCCTGTGTTTTGAGGCCATCACCCTGTAACCAGCCTTGACCAAGGCTGCTCGTTTGATTTCCAAGAGTCCTCCTAATTGTTATAAATGACCAAACCACAACCACTGCAAGTGGAGACCTTCTCCAGGGAAATTGCTCTTGCAAATTTGCTTGGGAAAGAGACGAGAAACTGCTGACATTTTTGATGCAAATAATGGATTGTTGTTCCAGGCAGTTATGACAATAATTGAGGCCAAACACTTTAAAATCCCTTACCACTAAGAACTGTGCTTAACCCAGGTTTGCAGTTTGAAGAACCAAAGCTTTTGGGGGAAGGTCTCACAGCACCGATGCATCAAGGAGCCCTAACACAGGAGCAACCAGGAGAAAATTCTTTCACTTTTCAGCTTGGCTGGGTCAAACTGAGCAACACAAACATCCCCCCACCTTCAGATGCTGGCAGTTTCTGGACAGCAGCATGTACAAGATAACCTCCTCTGCCAAGCCACCGCCAAACTGTTTTGAGAGCAGCAAAGGAGTTGTGCGAGGAGCCGGGCAGCAGCCACTGACACAGATGTAATCGCCTGCACATTTGCCCCAAATGTCTCCCTGCCAGGCAGTGACATTTCTGCGCTGTCTCAACTCTCTCCTCTGTCACCATGGCTACAGCAACCGCCAATCCACGGGCGAGTCCTTCCAGGGTACCAACAAACCCTCTGGGAGATGCTACGAGAGCCAACCTCTTTGGCAGGGAGACACTTCGGGGACCCCGGGATAGCCCATAGCACCAAAATTTCCCCCTTTTCTTATTTCCCTTCTCCTTTTTATTTTCTTTTTTTTCTTTCCTTTTTTTTTTTTGAAACACAAACAATGGAGCTAAAAGGTTGGGTATCAGGCCGATAATCATGAATGACGTGTCATTATTACACACCACACATTCATTATCTCCCACTCCAGCCATGTCACAGGCGGCTGGAGGAGGGCAGATAACGGGGTGCCTTCATGCAGATGGCTTATTATCACGATGTTCCAGGAGGGGCTTTAAGACAGTTAGTGATGCTGTTTGCCAGTTAAAGATTAGAGACCCCAGAGAATAATTAACAATCCCAAAACCCAGTTTTTCTGCTGGATTCTTCAGCTTTCTCCCCCCTCCCCCATCCTCTTTAATCTATTCACTCTAGCAGGTGTAATAAAGTGATAAGGACAGGCTCCGGGGATGTTTGTTTGGCTACTACGGGTGTACAAACCAACAATGGATAGTATTTTACTTCTGGCTTTCAGTGGCTTGAATCGAGACCAAAAATTTTGCAGCCCCCTTGCCCACACACGGCCACCCCTCCCTGCTGTGCTCCCAGCTCCCACCTGGGTGGCTGAGCTTCTTCCCCACCCGAAGGACAGCGATGGTGGGACGGGCTCCCTTTTTGTTTCTGGAGGTCCAAATCACATCTCTTGGGTGCCAAGGTGCCCACCGCCAGGACATAAACCCCAGGCTACACTGTTTGGGTCCAGGGCAGGAGCTGGTGGCTCTTCCGGCAGCGGTTTATCTGAATACGGCAAGCCTTTAATTAAACTACCTTTCAATAATTTACACGGCAGTTGCCCACCTGCCCAAACTGCTCCGGGGTTGTGGTTACAGCTGGAACAGAAACAGAATCTTAAACCCTCACAGTTAAAGGGACTCAGGAGAGATCAGGAAAGCATCAGAGCCAAAGGTGGATTTCAACAAGATGCCCCATTATTTGCGGGTCCAAGAGATGAGCTGCATCCTCCTAGGTGTCAAAGAAAAGCTGTGATACATCTTGTAACAAGGTGGTAATGCAAAAAACCCACCCTGAATGTCTTCTGCCCAAAAGGAGATGGTCCTGTCTGCAGCAGAACCCAAACCTGGATGTTTTCCTGAAGCCCAAGCTTCAGAGATAATGGCATTATGGAGTGAGGGGTAGGATGGAGCACCCATGATGTCACTGTGAAGGACATGGTCACTCCCCCATGCTGCATGGAGAGAGGTGTTGGGGAGGATTTGGCCCCAGACAAGTTGTCTCAGGCCCCTTCAGAGAGGTCACAGAGGCTGGGGGAGGTGCCCATCACCTGGGGACTGTCAGGTACAGCCCCAACTCTGGAGGACATTCCCGAGCTCCCAGGGTTGGCATGGAAGGCACGAGCACTGACATGCCAGAAGTTGTCATCCCAATCACGCTCATCCTTCCAGGGAGGGATGAGACAGCATTGTGCTTTAAAGAGCATCCCGACCCTATCAGCAAGAGATGAGATATCCTAATTACGGCAGTACAGGCGAGGATCCGGGCTGTATCAGCCAGTACAGAAAGGTAAACAAGAAATATAACAATGGACCCTTAACACTCATTAGCTGTGTCAGATAATACCTCACTTTTCTCCCTTTGGGGCTTAAAATCTAATTAAGATTTTCCAACAATAAATTTCATTTATGCTAGCTCCCTTTTGTTCTTTTTAGGATCACACCGAGAAGCATCTGCGAGGCGGCTGCACAGCTCAAGGGAAGGCAGCTTCACTCAGTCAGCCTCGGCTTGTGCTTCATGGACAAGGGAAACTGAGGCAGGACAGCACCACGGACAGTACAGAGGTGAGGTATACCACTGAGGAGGCATCCCTGGCTCTTGCTTGAGATGTTTTCCCCCGGGAAGTGAACTCTGAATGGGTTCTGGCTGTGATAAGACCAAGCACTGAGGCTCCTGGACTAGCCCAAAACGTCCAGCAGTAAAGCCCCACCCTTCTCCTTGTTTGGACCCACAGCCATGGCAGGGATCCATGGGGAAAGGGACACTGAGACCAACTGAGTCCTGAGCACACCTCCACTCCAAATCCGCATCCAGGCACTGCAGGGTGAGCAGCTCAAGCATCCATCACATATTGAGGGTGTGCACAGGGCATGGAAAAAGCTCCTGCTGTTACTCATTATAAGGATATCATTGCTAACTCCTTTTGCAACTGAGAGGTAAAAAATTAATGGGTTCCCCTCCTCTCACCACACCCCCAGCCCAAGTGCTGATGCCACAGGAACGTGTACTGGCTAATCCTTAAACCCTGCTGAGCACAGCACTACCCCTGAACTCTGGGAAGCTTGTTTTTTCCAAAACCACATGACACTTGGCACCTACAAGAGAAAAGTCGGGGGAGCAGCATCCACAGGGGCATGAGTGGGGAGGTGCAAGACCCAGCCTGGGGCTGGCTCAGACTCCAGCTGTCTAAGGGAAGGTAGTAGAAGGGAACAGTTCTGACACGATGCTGGGGGTGCAGCCATCGTGCCTCCAAATCTGAGGGCCTGACCCCTCTAACCCTTCTGCCTGTTTTCTTCTACTCCCATACAATTTCTCAACTGGAGCTGTGA